TTATTACCAATTGCTCATGAGAGCGAGTGATATTCCGCTGACAGCAGTGAGTACTCCGAGCGGGATACTCTGGGAGTGGGCATGCTCACGAATAAGCTCATGCCAATAAGTGCATCTTCGGCGCGGAAGAAATTTCTTTTTTTAGGGTGATTCATTGGGACGAATGGCTTTCGAGCGGAACCTGCTAAGGCCGAGGCCATTGTGGTCTGGCCGGCTCGAAAGAACCAAAAGGACTTGCGCAAGTGGCTTGACCTCGCCAACTACTTACACAAGCATAACAATAATAATGCGGAAATAGTGTTTGGACATCGAGCATCCGGACGCTTTCGACGGGGTCAATACAACCTTTTTCATGCAACAATACTGACGTTGCCAGACCCTGATCGCCTATTGTTGTCTGTTGCGTTTTGGACTTTGCCATCGGCTGTGCACTGCTGCTAGCAGACGCCAAGGGGTGAGATCGAGTGATCTTGTCGAATCTCGCCAGGTCAAGGCTGCAGATCACGACAAAGGATGAAGGATGAACTTGTCAAGTTCTGAGAACAGCTGCTCGACTCCACGCCGTTCGTGGTCAACACAGATCATGCGTTGCGACTCAGTCTCCTCTGCTCTCACAGAGGATGGCTAGGTGGCTCTCATTCTTTGCAGAAATTTAACTTCGAGGTGAAGCATCAGCCGGGAAGCAGAATGCTTTGGTTGATGCGTTGTCACGCAGACCAGATTATGAGCTTGCTCATGTTACGACGGTGACGTCGTTCGTGACGGGTTTGTTCCTCGCCGTGTGCGCAGGTGATGATATGTGCGTAGCGCTGCCACAAAGTTTGGAGACTTGGACAAGAAGTTGTCGTCGCGATTGCATGCACGGTTGCACCGATATTCATATAATGATAGATTGCTGCATTTTAGCACCGACTCGACGGATACGCCACGAATTGTGGTTTCTCACGATGACGGTTTGAAGTACCATATCCTCTATGAGACCCACGAAACCCCACTTAGTGGTCATCTCGGTTGTGAAAAGACCTATAGATCTGTGAGTTACCGCTACTCGTGGCCCAAGCTGTACAAATGGACGAGCACCTATGTGGGCACGTGTCCATAAATTTGGACTTTGTGTTCAGCCTGTCGTATAAGCCGGCAACACGGATGTCGTGGTCTTCCTCGACTGTTTGAGCAAGATGGCTCATCACGGTGTCGGTACAGCGACGCAGTTTGTAGAACGTGTCTCTCGATAACATGGACTCCCGAAGTCAATTGTCTCTGACAGAGATCGGCGCTTCAATGGAAAGTTTTGGTCTACAATCTTCAAGGTGCTGGGCACAAAGCTGAATATGTCGACAGTGGACCATCCGCAGACCGATGGTCAAACTGAGTGCGTAAATTGCGTCGTCGATGGCGGCCATCGCAGCGTCGCTGAAACTCCGAAGCGCTGGAGTGCCATGCTGCCACTTGAAGGGCTTGCTCTGATTAATGCAGTACCGGCTACACGCCGTTCAGCGTGAACAGGCTCGTTCATCCTCGCCAGCCATCGCATCGCAAACGCGTCGTAATACACTCAGTCTGGTAGACAAGAAGTCTTGGACTTCTTTACGAACAGTGAGAGGGTTGACATCAGCAAGCCGCTCGGCTATTTCACCCCACCAAGCCCTGATCCAAGGGATGGCGGCGTGCAGACAAAAGTGGCGGAGGATATGTAAAAAAAGAAATCGGAGACCTGGTTTTACTTAATGCTAAGAGCCTTCCTACCCATACAATTTCTGCTGTCTTTAAAACGGAGCCCCGTCCACGATTTAGCGGACCTTTCAAGGTTGTGGGCAGGCGGGACCTAGCGGTTACGTTAAACCTTCGGAAAAAAGTTTGCACCCACCCGGTATTTGGTGTGGGCTTGCTCAAGCCAAATTGGATCCGGCGCAAGTGAACGCGGAAGCGTTGGCGCCGGAGTGGCGCAGAAGCTGAACCAGCAATGGTTTTGAGCACGGATAGCAACGATTTCCATATACAATGGCGCCAAGCGCTCCACCTCCGCATGAAGCAGCTCCATTGTCTGCTCAACGGCCAGGTACCGCTCCGACAGAGTGCGATAGTCCCCAAGTTGAGCAACCAGTGTACAAAGTGCTCAAAGCTCTCTAGGTCGTCCACGCATTGGTATGCAAAATGAGTATGATGTCCAGCGGAGTCCCGATCGCAACGGATATCATGCTCAAGAGCTCGAAGAGCATTGTGAGCCACCGGGCGGCGATCAACTTAGTCGCCATAGTCCGCCGCCGACTCTTCTCGATAAAAATGGTGGTACTCACTATCACGTGGAACGTCTTGTGGTTCGACATCGTCGCCAGGGTCAAACCCATTATCATGTGAAGTAATACTTAGATTCCAAGAGATCGTGGAAGTATGAGGTGCCACTGTCCAGTCATCGTGGATGCTTATGATCAGAGGGATGATGACGCTTTGCGGCGTTGTACGCACCGCGCTTCTCGTCAATAGCGAGGGAAGCCGAAGGGTCATGAGCTGAGCTCAAGCTATGGCCCTGAGCTACTGTGGTCGCAGACGCTCCCGTGTGAGCGACCACAAAGCTTGCGGTAGCGTGATAGAGTAATCCATACGTCGCAGGGTAACAATACGAAGAAAGTCGGCGACGCACCTTGATTTTAGCAAACTTGAACCGAAGCTGACGTTCGACTCGCACGTCCACCTCCAGTGTAAGTTAGACAGCGAGAAACGTTTTCGGTGCCTTCGCACCCATCGCTCAAAGGGCTATTCCTCATCTGCAGCGGTTTCGCCAGGGCGAGCACCACAGGAGTCGTCAGCATCGTGGGTACAAAAGCGCCTCCTCTTTGAGCATGAAGTCGAGCGCGGTACGTAAATAGAGAGATTTCTGCGGAACCAAGAAGCGAGCTCGCAGAGCTTTTCGTTCGTCAAGCTCAGCTTGTGTAGTGGCCGGGGGATCGACCACAAGGATGCCAAACGATCGAATGATCGCGCTTTTCGCTTCTGTAGCTGAATTTCCCGAGCAGAAGCCGTATTCCACATTTGTGTTTACGCTCGCGGGGGTACTGAGACCTGCATGTCAGAGCGCCGGTCAATTGTGACCTATTGTACAGCTACGTTGGCAATGGTGTGGTGGAACTCACTCTTGAAGATTTTGTTTCTAATTTTCAAACCAATTAATTGCTTCAACATTAGCCTGATAATCATGATAGCAACGAACCGAGAAATTCTAGATGTCTTCCCATGCTGGAAAAGTAGTATCCGACTTGTAGTCGACTTCTTCCAACTCCTTGACGAAGAATTCCGTCGCCTGGGGCGGGCGCGGTGTGTTGTGCTTCGGTGCAGAGGGCTTGGGATGCGCTACCCGTGAAGCCGCGGAAGCACTGTCCGGAGATCCCCCTGTGCAGTAGAAAAAGAAGGGCTTTCCCGCGGGTGCCCCCGGAACCCGCTAGGCTAGGTTCTACGTGGGCTCATTGAGCGGTTTAAGGTTGTATTCAAGAACTGAACGGTGTCTCAGACATGCGAGCCTCGTATGAGGCGAAATTTAAATGTGAATTGTGTTCGCAATTTCCATGCGGAAAGTGTGAAGGGGTTACACGTATTGTACACGTATTGTATGAAAGGGCGGAATACACAAGATGGCGTGATCATACATAGGTATGGATTACACAGTCGGTTTAATCACACATTGGTGTGGCTACACCGTAACACGAAGCCAATACAAGGCAGAATCGCCATTAGTAATGCGTGCGTATTCGTGAGGTTTTACGGTATTGATTAGGCACTACTATGTCAACTATCAAAACCTAAGATATTAGATATTGGCGGCTCTGCCGCAGCTGAAACAATTAAATACAGTATCAATTTTGAACAAAAGAGTTCAGTTGCCTTGGTTATGGTTTTGAGGTACAGCGGATTGCGATCCGCTACACGCGTATCGGTTCCTGTAAAGAACGTAAGGTCGGTGACCTTAGCTTAGCTTCCTTGTAGCAAAAAGTTACGGCAGCCCCGCTGAACCAAGTATATCGAGCTGCGTCAATACTTCGTCGGCGACCAAGTGTAAGGAAGGCTGATCTTGTTCAATGTACAGGAAGCAAACAAGCCAGCTGACGCCCGTAACAAGCCGCTCGACAAGGTTTGACTTGGGGTTCTTGACTTTCGAAATTTGACCCTTGGAGGTCATAATATTATAAAATCCGACCGTACCCGGATTATACTTACATTGCGGTTGCACAGGGTTTCTATGAAGTGTCTAGATACTTCGCATGGAGAGCAGAAAGAAAACAATCGACTTATTCCTTCACCTGCTTAACTTTCAGTCGATTCCATATACACATGCTCATACACGACATCTTCCACGCGCCGTTTCTTTCCTACTTTTTTCGTCATCTTCGCCTACGAGTGACAATTTTCTCGTATTCATGGTGCAGTGCTGCGTGTGAGTCCACCTCGTAGTGACAGCGAGATCAAAAGTTGGACATAGATGATGGCACAAGAGTTTATGAAGATTATTATGTCAATGTGAACGGACTTGTGCACCATTTTTCGAATGTCCAATATAGAACTTTCTGTGTAGGACTCACAGTATTCTATTTTAACATCTGGTCTTTATGTAACTAAAAAATATGATTATGCGTATTTCATTCGTATAGCGATGCGCAGTATTATATAAACGTGATGCATATTATATCACCACAAGTCTCGTGAAAAAATACGATTCTGTGTTTAACGATAACTGAGCAAGACTTCTCGAAACTATGAAAAAAGAGCAACATGCATTCAACCGCGATTTCCTTCCTCATTCATCTTCGTCTCCTAGTTGCAAAAGCCAACCGTTCCATAGCATCAGTGGCAGTAAAAAGGTTGATTGGTGCGGACAGACCTTCGTGATAAAAAGTTCAAGCTCTGTAGATTTCGTCACTGTCTCCTTCGTAGTCTTCCTTAACTTCTAAGTCTTTAACTTCTAAGCAATACTGCAAGTCGAGGCGGGAAGACAGCTCACCACTTCCTGCTTATAGATCCTCATCCTCATCGGGAAGGGGAACCGCAGCAGCGGCAGAGCTGGCGTCAGCCTCAATCTGGGCGATCTGTTCCTGGGTAATAGTGACCTCAGGCGGGCGAAGGGCGGGAGCCTCTACAAAGGTCAAATTATTATCACTGTAGTACCAGCAAATTGCATTAGTCATAATGAAGTAGCGTCCATAAACAAAGGTGTAGACGTACCCAACAAGCTTGCGAGCAAGCCAAAGGAATGGCTTTTCAAACTGGTAGTTGGACTTGGCCGAGATGTCAAAATACTGTAAATTCTTTTTACGATGGAAAGTGATCTGCTTAGCTTTCACTTTTCGGTCTTTGACTTCGACTTTGTTACCACACAGCACGATAGGAATGTTCTCGCATACACGAAACAGATCTCTGTGCCAATTAGGAACGTTCTTGTAGGTAATACGAGATGTCACGTCGAACATGATAATGGCGCATTGGCCTTGAATATAATAACCGTCACGAAGACCACCAAACTTTTCTTGACCTGCTGTGTCCCAGCAATTAAAACGAATCGGGCCGAAGTTGGTGTGAAAAGTCAGCGGATGGACTTCAACGCCAAGTGTGGCAACATATTTCTTCTCAAATTCGCCAGTTAAGTGGCGTTTAACAAATGTAGTCTTCCCTACACCACCGTCACCGACCAAAATCAGTTTAAATTCTGGAACATTTTGCGCCTAAATTCGATCATGCATCTTTAGTCAGTCAAACGTCCAGAATTAATTCTTGCCCTGCATTTATTACAATGCTTTGCATGCCTAGATCCATTTATACAAGCACTACACAGCTGTGCTTGTATCCGCAGCGTTGTAACGTGGGAAAGGCTAAGTATCGAGTAAAGCTTCTTGTACGTACTATACGCAGCACAGTGATAGATGCAGGGCACTAATTATAACAAACTCACGTACCATCTTGACTGAAATGTTTCTACTTCGAGAACTTAACTAACTTGGCGCCGAGATGCGAATGGAAGACGAAACCCCCTCCACCAGTCGGACGATAACTTAGTTTTATTAAGTCAAAGAAATTCCGTGAGGTTATATATGGTAGTGAGGTTTTACCTGGTCAATATTTTCAACCAATCGTGCAATTTCTAAAATTTCGACGAAGAAGAAGGAAAGGTTGCGGGCTAAAGGAATCGAAGTATGCACCTCATGTACTACCTTGGTGACGACGGCAAGCGCGTCTACACACTCAAAGTGCGTACAACATAGAGTTGAATGGTATTAATCTATATTGAGAGTATATTGCTGACCAATTGAATTACTTTTTTATAAAATAACAGAAAGAAGGACCAAGTGGAGCTCCGACATGCTCTGCACACCCGGCGCGCTTTTCTCCAGACGACAAGTTTTCAAAAGAGCGCATCATCACTAAAAAGCGTTTTGGTCTGCTGCCTACTCAATCGCCAGATCCGATATTTCAGTAGTGTTTGATGGAGGAGCATTAAGAGAAAAAAGTAGTTTCACTGAATAGAAAAAGTGATTTTGATATGTTTCGTCTGTGAAGAAAGCTATTTCTTCAGTATGATGTGTCGATGTGCATGCCACGTCCCATTAGAGTTTATGTATGACAATCGATCGAAAGAAAATCTTTGTTTAAGCTAAGTATGGAGTTGATGTCAAGCAGTGAGGACGAAGGCGACTCGTCGACGTCACTTTCTGCAAATCAAATTTCTCTTCAGTTGTCAAGTAGTCAAGATAGTCTTAATGAAGAATTGTTCACTCCACCCTCGCGCATCTACGTCAACGATAGGCCGACATTAATGAGTCACAAGCCTGTCGTATCTGCACGTCAGCTTATGGGACTTGAGTCGAAATCAGAGAATAATGACAAAAGAGAAATCCATGGGATTGCTGCTAATTCGCACGTCACGACCAAGACAGTGTCTCAAAGTGGCGAGAAGAAGAACCTTACAACCGGCGAGCGAATTGCCTTGAAATATGGCTTAACAGCGGCTTCTCAAATACCTTCTCAAAACAATGTAAGGGACCCTCGAATGATAGACTCAAGTAGCTCATTGGCTTTATCTCGGTACGACACAGTTGATGACAGTGTGACAGAGAGGGAGGATATAACTACTGGAACTGAAAAAAGATCATTCTGGGATGCTCAGACGTCTGGACTGGATACCAAAGATCATTTGTCATCACAACTTACTTACGTATCGCCATTCAGCGATCCGAATGCATTTGTGAACACAAAGTGGAGGAGACAAATGCAACAACAACCAATACTGAGTCAAGAAGAAATGAAACATGCGCGTGACACTTTTTACAACGACTTATCGAGTGGTGTACAAGATGTTGGTGCTCGACCACGACATCTCATCGGCTCCGCTATCCCCGCGCTTGACGATGCAGAGGAATGGATATCAGATGCAAAAGAATCAGGCTTAGAAGATAACGAGGTGGCTAATCGATTGATCATAGGAAAATCTAAAATCAGAAACATAAACAATTCTGGGCAAAACAAACAAGAAGTAAGACAATCACGAAAAAGACTGAAGATAGAACAGAGCGGCTTTGTTGATGGAAAAGAAGGCTTTACTGGTGAACGGTGGCCGCAGCTTGATCCGCCAAAGGTGCGTTTCACAGTTCTTCGTTGGTTTTATTTACATTCAGTCTTACTTTCGTGCTTAATAGATACAAGCCGGCCCTTTGGTGCTGTCATCATCTGAACATCATGGATCAAGGACATTTGAAGTTTGCGCTAGTCTAAATAGCTATTTACTTGACTACCAACGCCAAGGAGTCGAGTTTTTATTCAAAGCTTACAACTGTAACACTGGTGCGATTTTAGGTGATGACATGGGTCTTGGTAAGACAATTCAAATCATTGCGTTTTTGTCAGCAATCATGGGCAAACAAGGTGATTACCGTGATAAAGAGACGTGGCAAAAAATACTATTACAGCGTCGAAAAAGATTTAGCGACTCTGGCGCCGTAGGTCATCCTGAAGATTCCGGATTCTGCTTTTCCGATGAGATTTCACCGATTTTTATCGTCATGCCCGCATCACTGCTTCAAAATTGGGAACAGGAGCTGCATACCTGGATGAGCTGCACCACAGTCATTTTACGTGGCAAACCAATCGACCGTGACGCGATTATTGACCAAATTGCAAGGTGCGTCAGTATTTGTATTACTTATGTTGCTATGTTTGACTGAATAGGTTTGTTTAACCCATGCAGAGGTGAATTTGAAATTGTCATTTGCAGCTACGATATCTTGAAAACGCACTCGAGTCGACTGAACAAAATATCATGGGAAGTTGTTATTTTAGACGAGATGCATTGCTTGAAAAATCCTGAGTCCAAGCTCACGAAAGCTGTAAAGGGAATTAGGTGTCGCAAAAAGCTTGGTCTTACCGGCACATTGATGCAAAACAATGAAAAGGAGTTGCATTGTCTAGTCGACACTATCGCACCGGGGGCTATTGGAACTTGGGCGGAGTTCAGCTTGTATTACGGACAAGATATAAAATACGGACGAAAGAAGTCTGCAGCTCCGGAAGCGGTGAAGAGAAGCCGTCAGAAAGAGATTGAGCTTCGACGAAAACTTAGTCCGTACTACCTTAGACGAGAGAAAGGGATCAATCCGACATTTCAAGTGGTTAAGAAATGTGACCAAGTCGTGTTTTGTGATCTCACGCAAATGCAAATGGCTGCGTATCAACGAGTTTTGGCCATGCCTGAGTTTCAGTTGCTCCAGCGCGGGGACGAAAGGTGTGATTGTAATCGAGATAGTATGGAAAAGCGGAAAAGTTGCTGCTATAAGACACCTGCTGATCTTGGCGAACGTCCTGGCTTGCTCTACGAACGTTTTCATGAGCAGGGACCATGCAAAAATTGCCCTAATTGTATGGGTCTTCCCTGTGTGGCCATGCTTTTGAAGCTTTCAAATCATTTAGAATTGCTCAAAGTCAATCCTCACGACGGGCCAGAGGTTCAACATTATCAAGAAGAATTTGCCAAGACCGCCTTTGGTTCAGATCTAGAGGAGGTTGGAGGTGTGAATCAAGTGTCAAATTTCAAAGAAATGTGTTCAATATCTACGAAAACTTGCGGGAAAATGATTGTGTTGGAAAAGCTGCTCGCTGTGTGGAAAAAGCGTCGCGAAAAGACGCTAATCTTTAGCAGAAGTACACGGATGTTGGATATTATTCAGCTCTTTTTGATTACAAAAGCAACGAGATACAGCAGACTAGACGGAAACACGAAGGTCGAAGAGCGCTTGAAGATGGTGAATGAATTTAATAGTGATGACAGCCATACTGCTGTATTCTTGATCAGCACAAGAGCTGGTGGTGTAGGTCTAAATCTGCAAAGTGCAACAAATGTCGTCATTTTTGACCCAAGCTGGAACCCAGCCCATGATTGCCAGGCTCAAGATCGAGCTTATCGAATTGGCCAAACTAAAGATGTGCAAGTGTATAGACTCATTACTTTAGGCACAATTGAAGAAATGATTTACGTTCGACAAATTTACAAGCAGCAACTCAGTGACAGTACGCTGAAGGGCTTCAATGCGCCGCGATATTTTGAGGGTGTCCAAGGTAATCCACAGCAACAAGGAGAGCTTTTTGGCATTGCAAATTTGATCTGTTGGAAACCGGGTGGTGTGCTCAAAGGAATACAAGATGCATATCAACACGGTCGTGACGGTTTAATCACCCAGCAAAATGGAGTTCAATACAATACTTCTTCGATCAAAAAAACAGTCAATAAATCAGCAGCAAAGACACGGTCACATGTCGTAGATGATGATGAAGGCGAAATGATTGAAGTTGCTGCTGAACTTGTGTCGGATATTGTGGCATTAAATAGCCCGCCAGTATCATATCTGGTTGAAGAAAAAACTAAGTGTAGTGATGGTAGTGAGGATGACAAAATTGCGCTGAATGGTGCTACAACTTTTCGACACGAAGAGATTGTTGGAGAGCACAACGATGAGGAGGGAGCTCTTTCTCAACACGACACGGCTAAAATGAACAACGGGTCGGAATTAGAAGCAGAAGCAGAAAATTGTTGTGCAACACACAACGCATTTGATGCATCCGACCAACAATGATTGCCATTGCGACCATTTGCTAAAAGAAAATCAACTTCACTAACTCGCATATTGGATATTTAGAGCCTGCAGGACGGGTCATTAAAGGTAGATTTAAAGCAACATACTTGTAAGAATCCTGTTGGTACCATTTCCTTACTTGAGACTTGGACTATTTACTTGATGCACATACTTCAAGTATTCGGATTAGTGTAGTACTGCAGCCGATCGTTAAGCTTGACTAACTGTTTGTTGTCTGTGATACGTGATACAATCGAGAATTTAGCATATTCCGAAAGTTTTGAAAGGTCGGACGTCAGATCTTTGACTCAATCTCACTCGACACGCCTCTCACGCACTCTTAATGCGTCTCCAACACGCCCAATTGCCAGTGAATCACCATACGGAAATTGTCACAGCATGTTGCTGGACACCCGAAAATGACGCGATCACGTGCAGCGATGACAAGTCGATTGTACGCTGGCGAATGGATGGAGAAGTTGTGGGTACTGTGATGAAAATAGAAGCGTACGTCACTGCCGTACATTGGGTACCATCATTGGGCAAACAAGGTGCCGATACATTTGTTGTTTCCTGTACTGATGGAACATTTCGTTTGATATCAAAAAACGGACGCGAGGAGAAACGCGTTCAGGGCTGTGATGCTGGAGCTGTGATTGCTCTTAAGTGGAATTATGACGGAACTGCACTTGTCACGGCAGGAGAAGATGGCTCACTTAAGATCTGGTCACGCAGCGGAAATCTTCGATCGACACTTGCAACTACGGGAAGATCTATATATGACGTTTGCTGGGGACCTGATGGCGATCAGCTATTGTTTACCTACGGCAATTTTTTAGTGATCAAAACTGTGCAATTCGGTCGCAAAGATATTCAGTGGAAAGCTCACGATGGTTCCATCTTGTGTTTAGACTGGAACCCTATCAACAATCGCCTTATTTCGGGTGGTGAAGATCGCATTTTTCGAGTTTGGGATGCCTTTGGTCGTCAGTTGTACCAGAGTCCAGCGGGCGAGCATGTTATCACGTCTATCGCTTGGTGTCCAAATGGTAATTGCTTTGCTGTGGGATCGTACAACTTACTCCGACTTTGCGATCAGACTGGATGGTCTTACTGTCGCCAACGTCCTCAGAGCGGATCGCTGATGGATTTGGCTTGGTCTTCGGACTCAACACAACTAGTGGCTGCAGGTGGCAATGGGGCTACTGTGTTTGCACAGGTTGTGGGGCGTATGTTGCCTTGGAAAAAGGTCGAAGTGACGCTTGTGGATCCCCGCAAGATCCACGTTCATGATGTCGTGAACGAAACCCTGGAAGAGCTGGACTTTGCCCGCGATCGAGTTGTAGAAATGTCGTTCGCTCACGGATTCCTTGTCGTTTGCACGGCGACGCAGTGTTTCATTTACGATGCGCAGAGCTGGAACACGCCTCACATTTTTGACTTACGCGCTGCAGTTAGTTTACTCGTTCAAAGTGAAAATCATTTTTTGACCGTAGACCATTTTAATGGGATTCAAGTCTACTCATACGAAGGAAAACCCGTCAGTAATCCGAAGTTCTCTGGTTTACATGTGAATTTTCTCAGTAGCCGCACTCTTTCGCTTAGTAGTGATACTCTCGCCATTTTGGATCACTCGGATCGTAGAACGATTCGATGCTTTGACATGAATACCGGCAAGCAGCTTTCAGTAGTCATCACGCATTCTCTTGAAATTTTAGAGCTATCTCTTAGTCATTTTGGGATCATGGAAGATCGCAAGATTTTTTTTATTGATCGAAACCGTGATTTGTATCTATCTCGTGTCATGAGCAATGGTATTGTTAAATTGCACGCTCAAGTTGATTCTGCAGCGTGGAATGATGCGTCTGAACTTCTTATTGCCATAGCAGACACAAAACTGCTCACATGGACGTATCCAAACATGGTGTACGTAGACCGAACGCTACTGCCAGATGTGATCGAGTCTAGAGATGCCGCTGACTTTTTGAATCTGGCGGCGATTACTAGCTTTGTGGGCTCGAGCGTCACTGTGAGGCGGGCAGATGGCACCATTATTGCTGCGGGTATACCACCCTACGCTCCAATGCTGTATGAATTCACAACGGTCGCCGACTGGGATAAAGCTGTTCGACTCTGCCGATTTGTAAAGAGTAAAAGCCTCTGGACTTGCTTAGCCGGCATGGCACTTCATCGACGCCACTTAGAAACGGCAGAGATTGCGCTTGCTGCCATCGAATGTGTCGATAAGCTTTATTATGTGCTTTACGTGAAGAATTTGGCCTCCGATGAGGTACGGAATGCAGAGCTGGCCCTTTATTCTGGCAACATTAATGAAGCCGAAGCTATCTTACTACAAGCTCATCCAACCCCGCTCGTTTATCGAGCAATAAAGCTCAACTTAAGGCTATTTCGCTGGGAACGAGCTCTCGATTTAGCTATCAAGCACACAACAGACGCAGGAACGCATGTGGACACGGTATTAGCCTATCGCGAACGTTTTTTAGCGGCAAACAAGCTGCAAGAGACAGACAAAAAATATTTGCAATACTCGAAACAAGTTACTATAGACTGGGAGACGATATCTAAGAAGAAGGAAGTTGAGCGGGAAAAGGAGCAGCATAGCAACGGTGGAAGTCGCCGAAAGTAATTCGATTTTAAAGCATTGGTAAATTTTATAATTGAGTGATGGTTTTAGTGAAAAGCTAGTCAAAAATATTATATAGATATTTCGTCTCATAACAGTTGATCTGCCTAGCTGCACCTGTCCTTGACTTTGACAGCAAGGTCAGGCCGTTATGATTGACAAACAGCTTCTATAACCAACTGCAGAACAGGCGATGCAAAGGTGATCGATTAGATGGCCAATGCAAGTATTTCTTTCTTCAAAGCTGACGCCATACTTTGATCAAATCTCTTCCTTTTTTGCAAAGCTGATGTCCATGGAATATGGCGCGCTCGTAGAGCTCAACCTTTCGTACTACAACCAACCGTCGAGGTACGGTACTTGACTTCGCAATTTCGAATAAGACTGGATGGATGCGGACGATCTTGATGTGATCCACACCGGTCTGGAAAGATGGTAACTGTTATCGCCTTCGGAAGAGGATTGTCCACCATTGCGACAACGACAGCCTTCAATTCTCATACAGTGCTCGCTAGTTCTCGCCCTTCTAGCAATTGGGCAGGAATTCTGAATATGCCTGGTTAGGTGGTGCAAACATTCATGATGGCCATCTCTAGCTCTCTTGTCCAACAAGTGGGATATGACTCCGTCTTAGTCTCGACGAGCAACGTCACGAGGATTTTTTGTTAGGTCAAAATTCTAGAATTTTTTTAAGAGAGTACTGTCACAGCTGGTGGGTGTCTCCAAAAGAGTGATTCCCGCTTCAGGCCCTCGAGCTATCAATTGTCTGATCACCGGAATCTAGGAAAGTCACGAGCTAAATAAGTGTGTCTGGCGGCCTTGTCGAACGACATTATCGTCACAGAGGATTTAGGCGATTCAGACTTTGCTACCAAGTGGAACGAGTTTGTCGTGCACATTACACAAGTTTGCTGTTGAGTTCTTACGCTTTATCAAAAAGCAAAAACGAGGCCTTTGAGGTAACTCGGTACAACGTTCTTGTTCTTTTGAAGACTGACTTTGATTTAAGGCAGAGTCTTTCTCTAACAATACTTAAATTATCTGTGTTCTTGTGCTCTGCAATAAAACAATACGTCGAACACTAAGTGAGGCTAAAATCTACGAGTCCTTTCATAAGTAGTCCCACTTGATACCTCTGCGTTTTTCTTCAAGTCGGGACGATTGTGTCATTCGAACGTCCACTTTTGTACAATATGCATTTCGTCACAGCATCGCTGACGGCACCGGACGCAATTTAAAAAAACAAAAGAAAGATTTACTACCAGAATCTGCACTGATCGAGGGTGACTATCGCAGCGAATGTTTTGCTCGTCACACCATAGCACATGGGCACAAAGTCCTATCCATTTGTATATGTTGGACAAAGCATTCAAAGTGTCTTTGCCATCTGGTATCGTTAGCCACAAACACAACAATGTACTTAAGGTCATCATCAGGATAGTTACCGATGTTATGGGTTGAGCGAGCTCGTGCTAAGCCACAGCAAGCCATAGGATAATGAGAGGTGATGTATGCGCGCGATGAATCGCATTAAAACTGCAGCGGAATTGCCGTAGCTCTTTTCTCAGAGGAAGCTTAGCTAAGATCGCTGAGCTTACGTGCTTTACACGAACCAGTACGCGTGTAGCGGATCGCAATCCGCTATCTCCAAGAGTACTTAGAACCTTAACCAATGTAAAGATGCTCTTCCGTTCAAAATAAAAACTGTATTTAAATTGGTTAAGTTGCGGCAGAGCCGCCAATATCTAAATCCTTAGGTTTTCCTTATATAAAGTAAAACCTAATTGATGTGCATTACTACTGGCAATCCTGTCACGAAGCAGCTTCTTGTTACGGTGTATCCACATCATTGTGTGATTACACCAACTTGAGTAATCCTCACCTATGCACGGTCACATCATCTTGTGCGACCCGCCCTTTCATACAAGAGTACGTGTCACCCCATCACACTCTACCCCATTAAAATTGTAAATATCCACAGTTCACATTTAATGGTTACCTTATAGGAGGCTCACGTATCTGGACACCGTCACGTTCTTAAGAGCAACCTTGTATATTCTCCGCCCTATGAGCCCTGTGTCTAAGACACGCAATACACCCAGTCTTGCTGATTCCGAGGACGCCCGCGGGCAAAGCCCTTCTTCTTCTACACAAGATGCATCTCTGGATAGAACGTCCGCGGTTTCACGGGAAGCACACCCCAAGCTCTCAGGACCCGAGCACAACACACCGCGCCTGCCCCGAGTGACGGATTTCCTCGTCGATGAGTTGGAGGAAGTCGACTACGAGTCGGATACTCCTTTACCAGCATGGGAAGACGAGGAAGATGAAATGAGCCAACGGCGCGACGTGGGCCCAGCCAAACCTTGCGGACACCATGTTCGTTCCCCAACCTCTCGGCTTCCGGTGGAAATGGCATTATTACCAGTCGCCTCGACGAGGCGCACGAGAGGCTACTGCCTGGGCGGCCCTCCTGCTCTCGTATCCACGTTTGGTCTTAGATCCTCGTGTGGAGACGGCTTCCGCTTGGCGGATCCCGCTTCTGAAGCGAAAGACGATCGTTAGGTGTTACGCAGTCGGACCACCGACCACTACACAAACTGAGCTTGATCAGCGAAAGCTCTTCGAGCTCGCTTTTTGGTACCACAACAAATCCCAATGGATCAGTATCGCGCTTAACTTTGAGCTTAGAAACGGAGGCGCTCCTGTACCCGCAATGCGGACCATTCCTGTAGTGCTCGCCCCTGGTGAAACCGCTGCAGATGATGAGGATTTCTTTGAGCGATGGGTGCAGCGGCACCAGAAACTCTCCTCGCTGTCTAACTTACAGTGAAGCCACAAGGAAGAGAACGTGCGCGTAGAGCGCCATCTGAGATTTGAGTTTGCCAAACTCAAGGCGCGACGCCAACTTTCAGCGTATTGTCGCTCTGCGGCACATGGAATAGTCCATCACGCTCCCGCGAGCTCTGTATTTTCTCACACGGGTGAGTCTACGACCACAGCAGCTCGTCACCCTTCGACTTTCCGGACTACTGCCGAGAAGCGCGGACGCGAAGCGTCGGATCCTTGTAATCGTAAGCGTCCACGATGTAGAAGAGTCGGTGGCGGGCAATGTTGATTTGGTTGATCGCCGTTCGGTGACTCGCGATATTTATCGAGCGTTAGAGGAAAAAATCCGTCGTCATCGGCACTCTGCTGAGCATCTCTCCGAGGTTGCCTACCGCTGTGCAGAAGTCCTCGAGAGCCTGAAAGCACTTTGTGCACCGACTGCTTCACGTTGAGAACAATTGTGCTCTGCCGGAGCGGTTTCTAGCCGTCGAGCAGGCGAATACGTCACTTCGTGCGACGGTGGAGCGCCTTGCGCCGTTAGAAGCGGCGATTGTTACACTTTGGGTTTAAAAATCAGTTGCTGGTTCAGCTTCTGGATGGCCGAGCGCTTTTGGACGCTGCCCCGGCGCCAACGTTTCCGCGATCATTTGCGCCGGATTTCGACACGGCTTAAGTAAGCCCACATAGAACACCGGGTGTGTGCATTCTTTTCGGAATGTTCAGCGTATACTCAAGGCCTCGCTTGGCCACAACCTTAAAATGCCCACTAAACCGTGAACGGAGCTTTGTCTTTAAGTCGGCAGAGACTGCTTGTATAGGAAGGTTTTCAGCATTTGATAAAACCAGGTTTCTGACCTCAAAGTTTTCCACATTTCTTCTGCTTCCTCTTCTGCATGTTCTGACTTTCCGCCATTGCATCGCGAACCAGACATAAGTCACTTAGTCTGGTAGACTGTAAGTCATCGACTTCTTTATGCACGGTGAGCAGGATGACATCAGCTAGCCGTTCGGCTATTCTTACCCCACCAGACCCTGAGCCATGGGAGAGCGCCCGTCGGCGGGACGCGAGGATTTACAAGACCGTTCACGTAGAACAGCGTATAGCCGGTAGATGAATGCACTGCATTATTTAAAGCAAACTTTACAAGTGGCAACATGGCGCCTTAGCGCTTCGGCGTCTCAGCGCAGACGCTGCGATTACGCCTTCAACGGCGCAATCCACGCGCTCAGTTTGACCATTGGTCTGCGGATGGTCCGCTATTGACATAGTGAACTTGGTGCCCAGCACCCTGAAGATTGTGGACCAAGACTTCCCAGTGAGACGTGGGTCTCTATCAGAGACAATTGACTCCTGGAGTCCATGTTGTCGAAAGGTACGATTGACAAATAGCGTCGCTGCACCTACACGGTCGATACTACCGCAAGATGCGCCATCTTGCTTAAACGCCCCACAAACACCACGACACTCATGTTGCCCGCCGAGTCCTTCGGCAGGCCAGACACAAAGTTTGTACTCATGGACTGCCAACAACCGGATGGTATCGGTAAACTGCTCAGCAGCGGCGCCGCGTTCGGAGAGGGTTTCACCCTCTGACACGTCTCACATGTGTGCACATATGTGCTCGCTCATTTGTACAGCTTGAGCCACCAAAAGTGGCAACTCGCCGAACTGTACGTCTTCTCAGACCGAGTGACCACTGCATGGGGTGTCGTGGGCCTCAAAGAGGATACGGTTCTTATAATCCTCATCGTGCGGAACTACAACTCTTGGCGTATCTGTTGAATCGGTGCTATGATACAGCAACCCGTTATTCAAAAAGTATCAGTGTAAACGTGCGCGCAAACGCGCCGACAATGTCTTGTCCAAGTTTCCAAACTCCATAGCCTGTAGCACATACCATCACCCGCTTATGCGGCGCAGATCAAATCCGTCACTGACGACGTCACTGTAGTGACATGAGCAAGCTAATAATCGGGTCTGCGTGACAACGCATCGGCCAAAGCATTCAGCCTTCCTGGCTTATACTTCACATCGAAGTTATATTCTACAAAGAGTGAGACCCAACTGGCCATCCTCTACGAGAGGTGAGGCGACTGAGTCGCAGTGCGTAATGACGCATGATCTGTGTAGATCACAAACGGCTTAGAGCCAAGCAGGTGCACTCTAAACTCGACAAGTGCATACTTCATCGCGAGTAATTCCTTGTCGTGGACTGGGTAGCTCCTCTCTGCAAACTTATGCTGGTGGGATTCGAACGCAATCACCCGATCTCGCTCCTCGGCGTCTGCATGCAGCAACGCACTGCTGAAGGCAAAGCCCGAATCGCCACAGAAGGACAATCGGGTTCTGGCAACGCCAGTATTGGTGCATGAAGGATGCTGTCTATGACCCTGTCAAAAGCCTCCCGATGCTCGGTGTCCCAACACCATTTCTTATCCTTCTCTGGGAGATTGGACAATGGCCGTGCCATTTCCGCATAATTGGCGCTATACTTGTGCGAGATCAATAGCCTGGAGTTAAATTTGTAATTATTCTTGCAGTAAGTGGACTGCGATCCGCTACACTCGTCCTGGTTCGAATGCTAGCCTCGATGCAGTTCCCTATAAATATTCTTGACGCTTAACAAATGCGGCCTCGTTTGCCGGGAGACAGATGTACTTTAACAAATTCTGGCTGAGACTGTCATACCAGAGAATACTCAATAGCTGATGAGCGCCTTGAGGTGAGCCATAATCAGTAAACAAACAACATCCTTGTCTCATATTTTATGATTAAGTTTTGATCAAGATCCGTCACCCTTACCATTTCATTTGCTGCCATGCCCGATACATCGCGCATCACTAATGGTAGTGATACTAATCGCAGCATCTTAGATGTCGATGATCCCACTATGCAACGTACAATCCTGAGACACCACCGCCTCATATGTTACTGGCCCGCACACAAAGCTCTCACCCTCTTGACCCTTACGTATCGGCTTTGCACTCAAATTCACCGCTTTTTTAGTAAAGGTTTGGCGTATGCGGAAGGTCTTCGTATGAGCCGCACAAGTGCGGCTCATACGAAACGGGAATCGTTACATTCCGGCTCTGAGAGCCTAAATTTTTAAGACGTAATCGAACAACTCAGTCTTCTTAGCGGTTAGAAAAGAACGTATAACGCATGTCATAGGCTTGATTAAGTGGTGCAAATACTCGCGACATCAACTTGAGCTCTTTCCAAGGTCAAATGCTCGTTTGTTGTAGCGCCCATTCCCAGGCGCGACCGCCTGACTTTAGCATTCTTCACGCAATGCGCTAATGCTCTGTTTGGGGCACGGTTGAGCACATTGCAATCAACAACTCCAGGCCACATAAAAACTTTGTTTTGACTTTGCTCGAAGGTCTTGACGGTTAACAGAATTTTTGCTCTATGGAGCTCGGCAGAAGTCAGTGGTAGATTATTCCGGAAGTATGGGCTCTCACGCTGAAACCCGAATGCTCTCTTAATGTTTTGATCTGAATTATTGTAAATACTTTGATGACATAACCGATCCATTAGACTTTGCGTTGGTAGTAGCAAAGAAGTGGGATTTGCAGGTATTGTAATTACGGCGTTTTACCAGACCGACCGTGATAGTCACATTTCCGCTTCCAATCACGGACATATCGGGCAAAGAACGTCAGACTTCGAGTCACAAATATAACAACATAGCCTTTATGTGGGCGTTCTCTTTTTTTTCAAAAGAACATTGAATCTGACTGATAACCTTTATGATGCTTTTTAAGGTGGTTAAAGCTGCATGCATAGCCTCTTTCTTGGCAACGCTCGGTAGACGCTGAATATGCGTATCGTCTTACGCTAACTGCTAAGTTAAAAACTGCTTTATTTAGCAAATTCCCAGTTATAAAGCAAAACCTTTCTTGCCGTTCTGATCCAATATCGTCCTCAACGCGACCTCATATGTGTACTTTTGAACGAGTGCCACTAATAAAATGGTTCAAGAGAAGCCACGCTCATCTTCGCTGCATCACATGCTAGTTGCGCGCGATGATCGCCACAGCTACTTGCAACGTCTGGAATCGCCGATCGGTCCAGGAGCGTATACCATTCCGTCAACCTTTCATAACCCGTCTCCAAACTTGTGGTTACGCGTGGTGCATCGTGATTCTTATGGTCGAGAATTTTCTAGGTAAGCACACTAAATTATCAGCAACAATAATTGCAGAGCTTATCGCGATCGTGCGCTCATAGACAGAACCGGTCAAAGACTGCCAACAGTGTAATGGAGTCATCGCCCGAGTACGTATTTGACTTCTATTTTGCATTTGATGCAATGATCATTTACGAGTATTTGGTGTTGCAGTGTGTCGCACCAGCTCTGTCTAGCTATGAAAGCCAACATGCACCAATCTCGCCGCGACCAGCTTCGAAGGATGATACTGGTGATGCTGCAACGATATTGCATTTAATTAAATCTTCGTTTTGATTGTGTGTTGTGTGGCTGCTCATGTAAAGGCTGCTTGCTGGAGCAAAGATGAGAATGCGGCTTTGCCGTCTTCGACGGAGCGCGACCGTCATGCTGCAAGAAATGCCAAGGCGTTAAGCCCAAAACCCGTTTCAATAAGCAATTGTGCGTCACAACATACAACATCAAGCTCGCCAACGACTTCATCACAGAAACAGAGGGTGCCAGCGGATGTCACAGACATTTTAGAAGAATATCATGATAGTGTTGAGGTGGTGGAGGAGCGTTCGAGAGCTTTGCAGCAGGTACGCGTTGGGAAAATAGAGCTCAAGAGCAGTAATTAATTTTTCTTGTGATTAAATTGATGATATCGACAGCCCTCGATCATCAGCGTGCCGCTTTCATACCAGGACCTTCTTATGCGCACTAGCTACTTGGACCGGCTTCAAAAGCAGCAGCGACGGAAGCGCGTAGCCAATCAGTAATAACCTGCACGAGTTATACGTCATGATTCTGAATTCGACAGTGAGCAGGTGCGTCACAGTATCTGCCGCTAGTTGCTGTGACGTAATACCTCGAGTATAATATTTAAGTCAAATTCAGTAGATTTGAATACAATCTGAATACTATCCATGTCTCATCCATTGAAAGCACTGATTTATATCAAAGCTCAATTTAGATGCCGACAGTGTGATGTCATCGAGCTTTTCCTTTATTGACACTTATTCGCATACAAATTTCAAGTTAGTTAACTTAGACGCACGCACCTCAAACCAGCAATCCAGTAATCCCACGATTTCTATGGCATTTGAAATTTTGCAGCAATCCTGTCATCCACTAGGCATTAGGTCCACGATACCTTCAAATAGATCGATCATATCATGTCGGCCAAAGCAATTCGCGAATTTGACGGAAAGCGCATATTGTCCACAAGTTTGCCAGACTTTAACCTCAACAAATGCTTTGCTCAAGTGGCAGTAAACAAAAGTTTTGCTGGTCAAAGTCGTGAAGATTTCTTCAGCGTGATTGAAACTCAGAGCCCATGGCTCACGAAGCTAGGCGACATGAAGCTTGCGGTAAAGCCTGACCAACTTATTAAACGCCGTGGCAAAGCCAACCTGCTACTGCTCAATGCTACGTGGGCTGAAGTGCAAAATTGGGTCTGGGAGCGCATTAACAAACCTATTCAAGTAGAGACTGTTACAGGAGTGCTGACGCACTTCATTGTCGAGCCCTTTATAAAACACAATGCCGCTGATGAGCACTACGTGTGCATCGTGTCGAATCGCGATGGAGAGGACATTCTTTTCCATCACGAAGGTGGCGTGGACGTTGGCGACGTTGACAGCAAGGCTAAGCGCTTGCAGATCGGCATTGAAGACACTGTTTCCGAGGACGAAGTGTCAACTGCCTTGCTGTCGTCGGTCGAAGAAGCACGTCAACCAATTTTATCCAAGTTCCTTGTTGCAATGCTCGCCAAGTTCCGTGAATTACACTTTGTCTACATGGAAATCAATCCGATTGTTCTTGTGGGCAATCAGATTTCCGTTCTTGACATGGCTGCTAAAATTGACGAGACAGCCAGTTTTCTTGTTGGTGACCGATGGGGAGACATTGAATTTCCTCCAGCTTTTGGTCGTGCCAAATTTCCTGAGGAGGAATTTATTCAGGATCTAGACTCCAAAACGGGTGCTTCGCTCAAACTCACAATTCTTAATCATACGGGACGTATTTGGACAATGGTTGCAGGTGGTGGTGCCTCAGTTGTTTATGCAGATACGATTGCAGACTTGGGTTATGGTCACGAATTGGCTAATTATGGCGAGTACTCGGGTGCCCCCAGCGAGACACATACGTATCACTACGCAAAGACTATCCTGGACCTAATGACTCGCAACTTTGATGAGCGTGGTAAAGTACTCATTATTGGTGGTGGCATTGCCAACTTCACAGACGTTGCACTGACTTTTAAGGGCATTATTCGTGCTATTCACGAATATCAACAAAAGCTTAAAGACAATAAAGTGCACATTTGGGTGCGTCGTGGTGGTCCCAATTGCCAGGAGGGTCTGAGTGTAATGCGAGAGGTAGGCGAAGCGACTGGTGTGCCGATCGAGGTTTTTGGTCCCGAAACGCACATCACAGCTGTTGTTCCCATGGCTCTTGGTCTTGTAGACAAGCCTACATCGGGAGTCGGACTGCCTGTTGCCAACGCTGTTGGTGGTGCGAAGCCAATTTCTAACAAATCAGCTTCAAATGAAGGCAGTACTATCGTTAGCGAATATGAAGAGGCTGAAAGTGTCGATGTGCTCGAAAGCAAAGCCGCTGCTACGACAAAAGCACCTGTGGTTATACAGGATGAAAGTATTGTGCGTATGAATGATAAGACACGATGCATTGTTTACGGTCTGCAGCAGCGCGCTGTTCAAGGAATGCTTGACTTTGATTATCTGTGCAATCGAAAGACGCCTAGCGTTGCGGCTCTGATTTTTCCTTTCTCGCCCAACCATTATCTTAAATTCTATTGGGGCACATCAGAGCGTCTCATTCCAGTGTTCCAGAAGCTGTCGGATGCCGTCAAGAAGTTTCCGGACGTGAGCGTACTGATCAACTTTTCATCTTTCCGTTCCGTTTACCAGTCTACTATGGAAGGCTTTGAGCACAGCGACACTCTCAAGACGCATGCTATCATAGCGGAGGGCGTGCCTGAGCAACAATCGCGTCTGATCTCAAAGAAGGCGCGAGAGCTTAATGTCGGCATTATAGGTCCTGCTACGGTTGGTGGCATCAAGCCGGGGTGTCTACGTATCGGTAACACTGGTGGTATGCTTGATAACATTGTACAGTCAAAGTTGTATCGACCTGGTAGTGTGGCTTACGTGTCCAAGTCTGGTGGCATGTCGAACGAGCTGAACAACATCGTATCACAAATGACCGACGGTGTGTACGAGGGAGTTGCCATTGGTGGTGACAAATACCCAGGTTCCACATTCATTCAGCATCTGCTACGCTATGAGTCTAACCCAGAAATCAAGATGATGGTTCTTCTTGGCGAGGTTGGCGGTACTGACGAGTTCGCTGTCTGTCGTGCCATACAGTCGGGTGCGATTAAAAAACCGGTGATTGCTTGGTGCATTGGTACGTGTGCTAAGATATTTCCATTCGAAGTTCAATTTGGCCACGCTGGTGCTTGCGCAACGGGTGAATCGGAGACTGCTTCAGCTAAGAATGCAGCGCTGGCTGCTGCCGGTGCCATCGTTCCGGAAAATTTCGACCAATTTGGCAACGCTATTCGCAAGCAGTTCGTCGCAATGGTTGCGTCGGGTGCAATTGTACCGCGCCCTGAAGTTCCGGTCCCTCGGGTTCCTATGGATTATGCCTGGGCCAAGAACCTTGGGCTTATTCGTAAGCCTGCCAACTTTATTTCGTCCATTTCGGATGACCGTGGTGAGGAGCTGCGATACTCTGGTACTCCAATTTCTAAAGTCTTTGAGCAAGATTTGGGTGTTGGCGGCGTCATCGGTCTGCTTTGGTTTAAGCGCAATTTGCCGGCTTACGCTTCGAAATTCATTGAGATGGTGCTCATGGTCACAGCTGACCATGGCCCGGCTGTTTCTGGCGCCCATAACACAATTGTTACTGCTCGTGCCGGCAAGGACCTGATTTCCTCGCTCATTTCGGGTCTCGTAACAATTGGCCCCCGCTTTGGTGGCGCCTTAGACAAAGCTGCTGAGATGTTTGCGAGCGCGCATGACTCGGGTTTGTCAGCAGCAGATTTTGTAGTAGATATGCGCAAACAGAACAAGCTCATTATGGGAATAGGTCACCGTATCAAGTCGCTGTCCAATCCAGATAAGCGTGTGACCATAATCAAGGAATTTGCCAAAGCTAACTTCCCGTCTACGGATGTGCTGAACTTTGCTCTTGAGGTGGAGCAGGTAACGACGAAAAAACGCAGCAATCTCATTCTCAATGTCGACGGCTGCATCGCCGTCTGTTTTGTCGACCTGTTGCGTAATTGCGGGGTCTTCACCTTGGAGGAAGCGAACGAGCAGATTGAAAACGGTTGCCTCAACGGCTTGTTTGTGCTAGGTCGCAGCATTGGTTTTATTGGCCATTTCCTCGATCAGAAGCGTCTCAAGCAGCCGCTGTACCGCCACCCGTGGGATGACATTTCGTACCTGGACGATGAAATATAAGTATAAAAGTGATTGCAGATGTTGCAGAAGTAGAACAATAAGTTTTGAAAAGGAGCATTTCTTCAACTTGACTTGCACTTATTGCTACGCTTGTTCATTACGCACTTGCAGCCACAGGAATTGCAGCAACTGCCAATTTATGTTGCTCTGAAGCCTGAAAATGCAGTTGCTGAATGGCTTTTCGAATACGCAATCGGTGTGCGAATTTGGTGATACCCACCTCACTCATGGCTTGATCAACGTCGTCCTCACTCTCCAGTTGCGCCAGATCTTCTAATGTCATAAAGCCATGCTCTTTCAACTGTTTGGCATATATGCGGTACTCTTCTGAGCGAGATTCGTCGATCCCCGCGAGCCATTCGCCCAATACGCCGCCGTCACAGCTATCCAGGTCGTGGAGATCAAGCAGCACACTTTCCTCTCCAGTCTTCTCTGGTGACATAGCGTGAGCTATTACACTAACTTCGGATGCAAGCAGTATACCCATATTTTGCCGTCCCTCACTTTTGGCATCCATCGGCTCAGTGCTTTTAGAACGTTTTCGTGTCATCTTCGTTGACTTAAGGATCTGATCCAGTGCTCTTTCTGTATCAGATGCCAGGAGTGTAAACGCTCTCTCCGAGCTTGTTCGTTTCCAGTTCGGCGACGAGCTGCAATGTGCTCGCGCACGTTCCTGGATCTTGCGCTCCTTCCAGCGCGAAGGGCGTGCTGGCTGGTCAGTGGCCACAAGGCGTAATGGTATGGTTGGTATCGTGGATGTACCACCTTCCATCATCCTTCGACGTAGCTCAATCATTGCTGCATCCGAAAACCGTTCATCCTCCTTCAGCAACGCTTCTTTATGCTCTTCATTAAAATGTGGACGCCGCTGTCGCAAACGACTGAAGCACGTAATAAAAACTTCTGCCACATTAGATGCGGCCTCGGTCGCCAGCTCGCGGGGACTCAACACAAACGGAAGACTCAGTGCAACCACCATTTTCACGATCACACGTGCGCAGCCCGTCGGTGTGTCACTTGTCGTGTCCATATCTTTTTTATTTCTTTGGAATATCTCAAAGGCGACGCTCCAAGATCGTGAAAAAATTTATTTTCAATACTTTATAAAACAAACAAAAAAATTCCTCTATAAATGCAATTTCCTTAGATTTCAACTGAGACGGCGCGACGAAGCGATGCCTTAACAACATTGTATTTGAGGCTGGTTGAAATCTTAATGTATTCTTTGCCATCGCCAAGTATCACAGTGAGCCATTCTGGCACCAATGACTCAAGCAGATAAAGCTGCTCTTCAATTCTGCCCTTGATCGGAGCTCGGATGGCCAGTCTGCGCACCACTTCAGCCTTTGAGAAAACAGATTTCTTAGTGACAATCACCAACGACTGTAGTTGGTCGCTTAGCTGCGGCAATGTTGAAAGCATTCGTTTTTTCAGAGCTTCGGCATTTTTTTCAATCACAACCTTGCGGCAAATTTCCTGCTTACGAACTTTATTGATGAGCCAATCTGGTAGCGATTTCAAATTCTGCGGCACAGGCTTTGCCAGTGCCTCTTCAAACTTTTCTTGCGTGTAATTACTCGTTGCATCGTCTGCACGCTCATTGCAAATAGTTGTACGTAGGGACACTGGCGAAATTCCTTTGCGTGCTATCTCTTGTGGGACTTTTGGCAACGGGGCCCTCTCAATTTTCATGAGTTTAAGAGTTCGGTTGATTTCTTCGACTGTAATGTCTGGACAATTCTTCTTCATGGTCTCGACGTGACGCTCTACATATTCATTAGCTTTACAAAAGAATAGAGTGATACGAGCCTCCAGACTTTCGCAATTTTCATTTGGAGAAGGCAATTTCTGCTTACGTATTGTAAGCACTGGTGGTTGCTGCGCATAAAATCTGTCACCATCTCTCTCTTGCACCTGGCGACGAGCAGTTCGCGTGTTTCGCTTCCACTTGAGCGCATACGCTCCAGGTAATAGATGCATGATCTGCTGTAGGTGCTCAGACGTGAAACTAAGCTGACATGAGCTTTCTATTGCGCGCTTGACGGCGGCAAAGTCAGGTGTGTGTTGGTACAGCATCAATGCTCCAAGTCCAAACTCAAGGGCCGAAAAGATACGTCCTAGGACGTGTAAAGATGAGGGTGCGCGTGTGTCTAGACGCCGAGAGGCACCTAGAGGCTTGCAGGTCATATTTGACGATATTATGAGCCAATAGAAATCAAATTGATATTTTTTACAAAACGTCCTCGAGGGGACTCGAACCCCCAATCCCCGCCTTCGGAGGGCGATGCCTTATCCATTAGGCCACGCGGACAGCTTATAATACAAGAGTTACAATAAAAATATAAACATAAAATTGCTCATTTTATGAATTTGATTTTAGTGCTCAAGGCCAAATGCCTCATTGCTTATTGCCGTTACGTTCATTACCGCTGATGCAGCGGGGCTGCCGTGGCTCTAGTTTCGGCAGAGCCGCCAACATCTAAAACCCTAAGGTACTCCTAATTGATATACCAATACCTAATTAATATATGCATTACTTTTGGCAATCTTGCCACGTAATGGCTTCTTGTTACGATGTAGTCACATCATTGTGTAATCACACCAGCTTGTGTAATCCACACCTATGTACGGTCACACCATCTTGTTTGACCCGCTCTTTCATAACAAGGGTACGTGTAAATCCATTACACTTTCCCCCTCAAAATTGTAAATATAATTTTAGTTCACATTTAGCAGTCGCCTCATACGAGACTCGCGTCTCTGAGACATCTTTAAAACCAACTTTAAACATTCTTCGCTCTAAGAACCCCGTCCCAGTCTAACTGGCTCCGAGGGCGCCCGAGGGAAAACCCCTTCTTCTACTGCACAGGGTGTATCAAAGTACGTCCGCGGCTTCGTGGGAAACACATCCCAAGCCCTCGGCACCCGGGCGACATATTTTCACGTCGAGGAGTTGGAGGAAGTCGACTACGAGTCGGACACACTTTTCAGCATCGGATGATGAGGAAGATGAAGTGCGCCGACGGCGCGACGTGAGCCCGGCTCTAACCTTGCGGACATCAAGTCCACTCCCCAACCTCTCGGCTTCCGGTGGAAGTGGTATTATAACAGTCGCCTCGACAAGGCACAGGAACAGCAATTGGAGGCTGCTCATAAAGTGGCTCTTTTGCGCTCGTATTTACGTTCGGTTTAGACCCTCGTGTGGAAAACGGCTTCCGCTCGGTGGAATCCGCTCCTGAAACGAAAGATACCCCCACTCGATCGTTAGGCGTCTACGAAGTCGGGCCCCCGGTCACTACACAAGCTGAGCTTGATCAGTGGAAAGCTCTTCGAGCTCACTTTTTGGTGCCACAAGACATCCCAATGAATCAGGACCGCGTTTAACTTCGGGCTCAAAAAGGAGGCTCTCTTGTACCCGCAATGCGGACCATCCCTGGGGTGCTCGCCCCTGGCAAAACCGCTGCAGATGATGATGAGCTCTATGAGCGATGGGTGCAGCGGCACCGTAAAATTTCTTCGCCGTCTACCTTACAGCGAATACGAGAAAGTGGACGTGCGCTTTGGGCGTCATCTTAGATTTGAGTTTACCGAGTCAAAGGCCCAATGCCGACCTCCTGCGTACTGCGCCCTGCGACATATGGAACAATCCCTTACTCTCTCGCGAGCTTTGTGGTTGCTCACACGAGTTAGTCTACAACAATGCAGCTCATGGCCATAGCTTGAGCTCAGTTCATGGCCCTACGGCTTCCTGAGCTACTGCTGAAAAGCGCGGTGCCCACGACGACGCGAAACTTCAGGATCCTTCCGACCATAAGCGCCCGCGACATCTTGGCAGTCTTGCCGAAGTGGCACCTCAAACATCCAAGAGTTTTCGGAGTTTATGTATCCTTACCACTTCACAAGATATTGGGTTGAACCCCGTCGACGACGTCGACCCACAAGGCGTTCTACGCGGTAGTGGACGCCACTATTCTCATCGAGAAGAGTTGGCGGCGGGCGATGACGACTTGGCAGATTGCCGTCCGGTGACTCGCGGTGCTCTTCGAGCGTTGAAGGACATGCTCCGTCGTCATCGACACTCTGCCAGGCATCTCTCCGAAATTGCCTACCGCTGTGCGGAAGACCTCGAGAGCCTGGAGCACTTTGTGCTGCCTCACGTTGAGGACAATCGTGCTCTGTTGGAGCAGTTCTTAGCCGTCGAGCTGGCGACTACGTCACTTCGTGCGCCGGTGGAGAGCCTTGTGCCGTTGAAAGCGGAGACTGTTATACTCCGTGCTCCGAACCAGTTGCTGGCTCAACTTCTGGGTGGCCGAGCGCTTTTGGAATCTGCCCCGGCGCCAACGCTTCCGCGTTTTCTTGCGCCGGATCCCGACACGGCTTAAGTAAGCCCACATAAAACACCGGGTGGGTGCGCATCCTTCTCGGAAGGTTCAGCGTATACGCAAGGCCT